GTAAGGGACCTCTTCAGGGAAAACTACAAACCACTGCTCAACGAAATCAGAGAGGACACAAACAGATGGAGAAACATTCCATGTTCATGGTTAGGAAGAATTAATATCATGAAAATGGCTATACTGCCCAAAGTAATTTACAGAATCAGTGCTATCCCCATCAAGCTACCATTGAGTTTCTTCACAGAACTGGAAAAAACCACCTTGAACTTCATATGGAACCAAAAGAGAGCCCGCATAGCCAAGTCAATTCTAAGCAAAAAGAACACAGCGGGAGGGCATCACACTACCGGATTTCAAACTATACTACAAGGCTACAGTAATCAAAACAGCATGGTACTGGTACCAAAACAGAGATATAGATCAATGGAACAGAACAGAGGCATCAGAGGCAACACAACATAGCTACAACCATACAATCTTTGATAAACCTGACAAAAACAAGCAATGGGAAAAGGACTCCCTGTTCAACAAATGGTGTTGGGAAAACTGGCTAGCCATGTGTAGAAAGCAGAAACTGGACCCCTTCCTGACACCTTACACCACAATTAACTCCAGATGGATTAAAGACTTAAACATAAGACCTGGCACCATAAAAACCCTAGAAGGAAATCTAGGCAAAACTATCCAGGACATAGGAGTAGGCAAGGACTTCATGAACAAAACACCAAAAGCATTGGCAACAAAAGCCAAAATAGACAAATGGGACCTAATCAAACTCCACAGCTTCTGCACGACAAAAGAAACAGTCTCTAGTGTGAATCGGCAACCAACAGAATGGGAAAAAATTTTTGCAGTCTACCCAAAGGGCTGATATCCAGAATTTACAAAGAACTCAAACAGATTTACAGGAAAAAAACAAACAAGCCCATTCAAAAGTGGGCAAAGGATATGAACAGACACTTTACAAAAGAAGACATATGAGGCCGACAATCATATGAAAAAATGCTCATCGTCACTGGTCATCAGAGAGATGCAAATCAAAACCACATTGAGATACCATCTCACGCCAGTTAGAATGGCGATCATTAAAAAATCTGGAGACAACAGATGCTGGAGAGGATGTGGAGAAAAAGGAACACTTTTACACTGTTGGTGGGAGTGTAAATTAGTCCAACCATTGTGGAAGACGGTGTGGCAATTCCTCAAGGCCTTAGAAATAGAAATCCCATTTGACCCAGCAATCCCATTACTGGGTATATATCCAAAGGACTATAAATCGTTCTACTACAAGGACACATGCACATGAATGTTCATTGCAGCACTGTTTACAATAGCAAAGACCTGGAATCAACCAAAATGCCCATCAATGATAGACTGGACTGGGAAAATGTGGCACATATACACCATGGAGTATTATGCAGCAGTCAGAAATGATGAGTTCGTGTCGTTTATAGGGACATGGATGAATCTGGAGAACATCATTCTCAGCAAACTGACACAAGAACAGAAAATGAAACACCGCATATTCTCACTCATAGGCGGGTGATGAAAAATGAGAACACATGGACACAGAGAGGGGAGTACTAAACACTGGGGTCTATAGGGGGAAAAGGGGAGGGCCAGTGGGAGAGGGAGGTGGGGAGGGATTGCCAGGGGAGAAATACCAAATGTGGGTGAAGGGGAGAAAGCAAACAAAACACACTGCCCTGTGTGTACCTATGCAACTGTATTGCATGCTCTGCACATGTACCCCAAAACCTAAAATGCAATTAAAAAAAAAAAAAAAATTTTGAAAATAAAAATACAAAGGATAATGTATCACACCCATGTTCCCACTACCTAGAATTATAACTATTAACATTCATCACATATTCTTTAAGATTTTAAATTTAAAAATGAAATATTACAGATAAAATGAAATTCTACCTGGTATGTTATTGTCAGTGTCATTCTCTTCCCAGATCTTTCTAGCAATAACCTCTATTGTGAAATTGATTATCTTTCTAGTCCATTTTGAGTACTTTTATATATGTACATCCATATATAAACACAAATAGGTGTTTGTATGGGTTCAGTTTAAAATCATATGCACAATATTCCATACTGCATGCAAGTAACAATAGCAGCTTACATTTATTCAGCTGTTACCACCTGCCTGGAGCTACACTGCTGTTGCAGGCCCCCACCACTCATCTAAAACTAGCCTTTGGGTCAGGGGTTTCCTCACTGTAGTCCCTTCTGTTGTCAGAAAGATGTTACAGGAAAGGGGTCCCAATCCCCATCCCAAGAGAGGATTCTTGGATCTCACACAAGAAAGAATTCAGGGCAAGTCCGTAGAGTACAGTGAAAGCAGGTTTATTAGGAAAGTAAAATCAAAGAATGTCTACTCCATTGGCAGAGAAGCCTCAAAAGCTGCTGGCTGTCCACTTTTATGGTTATTTTTTGATGATACGCTAAGGAGTAGATTATTCATGCCTCCCCTTTTTAAGACCATACAGGATAAGTTTCTGATGTTGCCATGGCATTTGTAAACTGTATGTTTATAAATGTAGTAAACACACAGTTTACAAATGTAGCAGTGAGGACGACCAGAGGTCACTACGTGGCCATCTTGGTTGTGGTAAGTTTCAGTTGGCTTCTTTAATGGAATCTATTTTATCGGCAAGGTCTTTATGACCTGTATGTTGTGCCAACCTCCTATCTCATCCTGTGACTTAGAATGCCTTAACCATCTGGGAATGCAGCGCAATAGGTTTCAGCCTCATTTTACCCAGTTTCTATTCAAGATGGAGTTGCTTTGTGCCTCTGACACTGTCTCAGCCCTCTCATTGATCCTATGTATCATGCACTTTTACTGTCATATTTCTTAGTAAATAAGGCACACAGACAGATCTCTTGTGCAGACTCACACAGCTATTAAGTGATAGGGCTGAGAATTCTGCAATCAGGCTTTGGATCCTGAGCTCTTGACCGTCATCGTAGATGGCCTCTTCATGTGTCACTGCAGGATTCTTCACTCTCTCAATATCATGCTTCCAATACCTGTGATTGTTTCATTTGTGGATCTAGTTCATTCCTTCTCACCATTATACCCTATTCTGCTGAATGAATACAGTACATAAGCAGCATTGCATATTGCATAGTGGTTAAGACCTATAAAATAAGAGTAGAACGTATTCCTCACAGACCTGTTGTAACAATTAAGTTTAATTCAAATACAGTAAGTAGAGCAGCACCTGGTACAGATTAAGTACTCAATAAATGTTATTTGCTATTGTCATATATCTATTATTCTATTGAATACATTCCTTAGGTTGTTTGCAGTTTTTCTCAATTGCGTTTATTGCCACAGTGAAAGCTCTGTGTCAATTTATAATTCTTTTGGGTATCTCCCTATAAGAATTGATGGCTCATAGAGTGTGCATGCTTTCAGTTTTACCTGATATTGCCAAAGCCAGCTACACCAATTTATTCTCCTTAGTGCACTGTGTGGCACTTCCCATTCCCCTACATCCTCACAGTTAACATTTTCTGTTTATATTTGCCAACCTTATGGGTAAGAAATACTATCAAGTTGAATTACTGAATTTTTAATAAGTTTTATTGACAATATTTACATATTCTAAAACCTTTTTAAAGTGTACAATTCAGTACACATTAGTGTCACTCAGTACACAGTGGTTTTTAGTATGTTCACAAGGATGTACAACCATTATCTCAATTTGATTTTAGAGAAAATCTTTTACCAGTTAGCAGTCACTCCCCATTTTCCCTAGCATGGGGAGACCCATGGTTTTAGTAATCTGCTTTCTATATGGATTTGCGTTTTTGAACATTTCATATAAATGGAGTCATGTGTTTTCTGATTGGCTCCTTTCACTTAATGTTTTTGAGGTATATCTATGTTGTAGCATGTATCAGCAAATTCATTCCTTTTGATGGCTCAATTATATTATGTTGTATGGATATACCCCATTTTATTTATCCATCCGGTGATGGAAATTTGGTTGCTTCTACTCTTGACTATTATAAATAACGGTTCTGTAAACATTCATATGCAAATTTTTATAGATATGTTTTCAATTTTCTTAGTTATACATATAATTATGTATCTAGCAGTGGAATTGCTAGGTCATATAGTAATTCTGTGCTTAATATTTTGGAAAACTGCCAAACTATTTTCCAAAGCAACTGTATAATTCTACAATCACATTACAATGTGTGAGGGTTCCAATGTCTTCATATCTTCATCTCTAGTACTTGTTTATTGTCTTTCTTTCTGATTCCAGCCATCCCAGTGGATGTGAAGTAGCATTCCATTGTGGTGTTGATTCGCATTTCTTGATGATTAATGATGTTGGGCATATTTTTATGAGCTTACTGACCATGTGTATGTCAGCTTTGGAGAAATGTCTATTAAAATCCTTTGTCCATTTTTAGAGAAGAGGGTATTTGTCTTATTATTTGAGTTTTAAGGAGTTCTTTATGTGTTTTTGACACAAGTCTCCATCAGATATATGATATATAAGTATTTTTCCCATTCTGGTTGCGGAGGTTACAGTGAGCCGAGATCACGCCACTACACTCCAGTCTGAGTGACAGACCGAGACTGTCTCAAAAAATAAACATTTTACCCATTCATTAGGATATCACATCTTAATTGATGTGAATTGGTGAATGTTAATATTTGTAGTTTCACATTTTCTCAGAACTTGATTTTTCAAAATCATCTCAATCTTACCTGCTGAGTAGATCATAAACCAGAGTACATTGAAGTAAACAATGCTCTGGGCACACAGAGCCCATCCGTCAGAAACTATCACATTGTTCACAAAAACAGTCTTTAGCTAGTGAAGAAAATTAAGTTTTGATAAAGCAGAGAAGCCTTCACACCTAATTAGGGTTTGAATTTAATAACAAAAAATATTGAAAAAACATTTCAGTATTTTCAAAACACTGATAGATTAATTCAAAAGTATTTGAGTTTGTGTTTAACCTGCCTTACTTTTTCTTCTTTCCTTTTCCCTCTTCCTGTCTTTTCCCTGTTTCTATTTCAGATTGAAAATGGCTCAGGAATCAGTCAGCAAGTTGACGTCAGAGAAGAAAGTGGAGACAAAGAAAATCAATCCCACTGCTAGCCTGGTGAGACATTTTTCAGTATAACCTAATGATTTTCATTAAAACTGAGTGTGTCCAGGAGTGTGTCTGAATTCAAGGACTAAACCTCAAAGCTGAAATGTAATATCCAGATTCTCATTTCCCATCCCAGAGTTGCAGGTGGTAAAAAAAAGAAAGATGTGTGGGCCGATGTGCAAAACATACTTTTATGTTTTTCCTGTAAATTCCACACAGGTCATTTCTGATTAGCCACGTTTAGTCACTTGCCATTTCACCTCCTTTCATACCCTAGGCACAACACAGTCGCCCTTATCGCAAAGTATCTTTCTCTCAGAATGTTTACATGCATTCATTCTCTTCAGTTCATTTTCCCATTAAAGAAAAAGCCAGGGATTCTCCTGTTTTGATGGTTGGGAAATCTGAACTGCAGAAAGATACAGCCTACTTAGGGTCGCTTGGCAAGTGGGTAACAAAAACCAGGACCAGATTCTGGGCCTCCTGACATCTCTCCCTGTGCTGGAAACCAGCAGTCTCCCCAGTCTTCCTATATTTCAGATTGTACTGTCCTCCAAAGTCCAGTTTTCAATAGAGATCACAATGAATCTCCACCTAGGTGATACAGACAATAGTCAGGAGAGCCATATGGTTAGGATCCCAGGATGTGAGAATGAAATGGCCTGGGTTCAGATCACAGCTCTGCCACTTAAGTAGTTGTAAAACCTTAGTAAAGTTACTTTCTTTTCTCCCAGATCTGCCACTTAAATAGTTGTAAAACCTTAGTAAAGTTACTTTGTTTCTTTCTCTTCCAAGAAAAGAAGTATTACTTTTTCCTTGGGGTTATTTTGAGAAAAGTGAGAAAAGACTTGTAAAATGCCTTAGGAGCTCAGTAAGTATTAGTTGTTTTTCTTGTTGCTGTGAATTTCAGCTGCTTTGGTTGACTCTGCAATGGGGAATGGCAGTGAGTGGGAAGTGGAAGTATCACCCTCCCCTCTCGGATTTTTCAAACACTACCTTCTCTGGCCCTGATGTCCCACAACTACTTATTTTATCGTTTAGGTATGATTATCCTTTTTGCTGGATGCTTCAAATCCTTTGAAAATGTAGGTGAGATCCAAGTTGTAAAGTGAGATTATTTCTGTTGATTGACCTTGGTGTTTCTCATTACCACCCCATGAGCAGCTAAATGAATGTTTCATGAGGTTGATGAATGAGAAATGGAGAAGTCAGGGCTATAGAGCTTGGTCAGGTAAAGCCATTGTTGAGGACATGGCCCCTGTTCCCATTTGTTGGTATATCTGTGTCATGCATTTGTATGATTTTCAGTGGCAGTCGGCTGAACCCCAATTTTTATCTTCTTCCTTCATCCGCCTCTACCTCTTCCTTCAGACCTTTTATTTGGGCCTCTATCCAGACTTTTACAGCCAAGCCTGTCCTCCAAGGCAGGGAGAATGGGGTCACCCATGTAGACCAAAGGGAAAACGTGGATTTATGACCTCCCCTGTGAGCAAGCTCCCAGTTGTGATCCTGAGCTTGTTGGAGTTGCTTCTTTTATTGTCTGTGTGGGTGGGTGGGTGGAAATTAGGGAAGAGCTTGTAAACGGATTTCTGATTCAATTTTGCAGGTCAGGGATGGGGTCCAAATTTAGGACGAGTGTCGAAAAATTATCAACTTAAGTTTATGTCTAGGCCAATTTAGTAATTCACTGCAACATCACATCTCATAACTCACAAGCAGCTAAGGATCTGTCCTCAAAGGCTTCTCTCTGCATCTGCTCATTCCAAAAGAGTGTGTCCTTCTCCCTTTTCCTTTTTAGCCTTCCATTTGCCCTCCCCTAAGAGCAGGCACACCCATCCTTACCATACTCATGTGTTTACTTCCCTGGTGTCACACATACCGTGAGGGTCCGTGTTTCTGTGTAGTGTGCTCCTGTTTATTTTTACATCTTCCCAGCAGATGCCCATATCCCTCCCTTTAGAAGGCTGTCCATGAGGAGGAAGCTCAGAGAATGAAGAGTGGAACATCCATGGCAAATCAGGAACTTCTGCCATTCTGTAGAGACTAAATCTGGTCATCTCCCATTTTGCATGGCTTTTGTTGAGTTCTGCCAAGTTTATCTTTCGCAAATACATTCAAGTTGGAAACAGTATTTTTTTTTCATATCTAGACTCCTTAAAAGCTATTTCTTGAGCATTCCCTAATTCCATCAGTGGGTCAAGGGTAGGGAGGAAGGAGTCCTGGAGTAACACTACAAAGTTAGGTCTTTGTCACAAAGGAGGAAAACGGAAAAGACCACCCTGGCTTGGTAAAGGCCCTTGTCTTAGATGGATGTAGTTGGTAGATTGGCTGGCTATTGATTTCTTGTTTGTTTTCTGGGGAGTAAGGGTAATAGGTAGGGAGGGTCAGATAACTGAGGGCTTAGGGAAAGAAGAATATTTCTAGGCTGTTTGGCATAATTGCACTCAGAATTCTAGACCAAAATTTAACAAATTTATCAAAACTTAAGAAAAGAAGTGACACATTATTTTTTTTTCATTAACAGAAAGAAAGACTGCGTCAGAAGGAAGCCAGTGTGAACACCAACTAAGATGAAGACACATGGAAATGACGGCACTGGCCATGGAGGACCTTGCACACATGCTGTGTGTGACCCCAGGGCTGCAGGACGTTCTTGAGAGATTTGTTACTAAATGCTTTTTTGCTCATCTCTTTCTGAGGTCATCTGCAGAGTACCCCATGCCTTCTTTAAGAAGTCCCTTATTAAGCCACAGGAACAATGGGAAACCAATTTAAGGGAACACTGCAGAAATATTTGATTATTATTTCTTGTTGAAGCCCAAAGTCAACTCTAAGACCAGAAGAAATACCTTCTTCTGAAATTTTTCTGAAATTTTTTTAAAGCTGAGATTTCCAGCTTTATAACCAAAGCTTGATTTATGTCACATTGTCACAGAAGAGAGAAACGATCATTTAGGACAGTTGCCTTGGGAGAATTCAAGTCTTTGTCTTTACACACTGCTGTTTTGATTATTCGTCTTAGTTTTGATCCTATTGCAGCAAAATCCTGCAGCATCTTACTCTCCAATTATGTTGCAACTTACCAAAACTATTTTTGAAGGGGTCTAAGAATATGTATTTTTCAGACTAGAAAAATGATTGTTATTTATGTAATGGAAAGGAGGAAAAACAATCGTACCGGGGTGGAGAAAGGGAGATAAACAGACAAACTTCATCCTGGAGAACAAGTTATCATGCAAGGAGTAGATATCTGTTATTAAGTGAGGCCCATTCTTGTTTCTGTATCAGTCTTTCATGGTTTTATGGGCCAGCAGAGATTCTGCACCCTCACTCCCAAGAGAAACTAATACCTGAGCAAGCACAGCCTTGGGGTCAGAGAACCTGCTTGGACAAGAGACCCAGTGGCCAGAGCACCTTTCACATTTTGGACCGTTTGTGAATGGGCAATGTTGTGTCGACCTGCAGCCAAGTTCTACGTCATGTGCTGTGACTGTGCATCTGGACTTCCCCCACCATCCCCAGGAGACAGTTTCCAGACAGGAGAGCAAATGCAACTCACAGCCCCAACTCATGACCCTGACTGACAGGCGTGTGAAGTAGGATGAAGCAGGACTCTTTAATGTCAAACTTACTTAAGGATAGAGAAAGTTTCTTACATCAAAATGAAAAGAAGATTACATTAATATGAAACTCCAAGTCGATTGTTATTCATAGGCAGCTTTTTCTGATCCTGGCTCTTGAGTCACATGGGGAAACTACCTTGGACCTCTCTGACGATGTTGTCCTTAAGCCACCTTTCTGAATTTATCTTGTGAGGAGTGAAGAAAGAGGACTGGAGATGAATTGAGAATATCATCAAAGACTCATTTTTAGGCCTTGAAGGAGAGGCCCGAGCTTTTTCCTTCAACTGGTAGAGGACTGTCCAGAGATGAGCAAGAATCTTAAATTCCTTCCTGATCCAGCCACCACACGTGGCCTGACCCTTGCTCCACCATCTTTCCAGAACCCTTGGACTTGCCAGGTGCCTGAGCATCTTCCCAGGCTATGCCTGCCAGCCAGCAGCCCCTCAGGAGCGCTCCTGCAATAATAGATCCAGTAACGAAAGCAGTACCATATCCTAATCTAATGTCAGCCTCCAGAATGAAGCGCAGTCAGGATCAAGTCAAGTCATTCAAGCCATATTCATACAGGTGCTAACCACCTTTTCTACTGGTTGAACTGAAAGGAATATGGTAACATGGTTGCATTTTTTAAATTCAAAATAAAGGAATGAGACAAGCAAAATGGCAAAGCTGAGAAGGAACATGCATGACTAAAAAGGCTTGAAGTTGCTTGTGAGCAAGAAGCTTTTTATACTGCCTTCTAGTTTCTCTTAATTTGCACTTAACTCTGAAGACACCCAAAAGAACTGATCAATTAAAAACTAATTCCACTCATAGCCATCCTGTGCTCCTTCTAGTGTTATGCACAAGAAAAGTGCCCATTTTACCCATGCCATAGAAATCAGCTGTGAGTTCTGTGGTGCTTGCAGAAGTCTAAATCCTGGTAGGCTGATGGTGAGAGCAGCAGGAGGTTTGCAGTCGAGTCACAGCAGTTTACTTTGGTCTCCAAATAGGATGCTCATGAGAAATCACTAAAGGTAAGCAAGGCTGTCACTGTGGCCACGTAACTCTTCCAGGGCCAGTGCTGAAGAATAATGAGTGAAACACTTAACTGGAGTTCATTCTAGTGAACAGACTAAAACTTGACAGTAAAATGCCTATTTCTACAAAGCAAGATTTGCCTGCCTCGGTTAGGGAAACCTAGTGGTTTTGTCACACTAGTCAATGTATTAATGTTAGTGTTTTAAGACACCATGGCAAAATCTTCATTATTCTCACCTAATTTGAACCCTGGGATGACCCCTCCCAAGTCCACCAGTGTACCACATGGTTGACACAGCCTTTATTTTTAACTCAAGTTGATGCTCAGTAAAGATCAACGATGGTTTGTTCAAGGAAGTTCATCTAAAATAATCTGGAGTCCTTGAAAATGATCCCTGTAAAATGCTGTTGAGCTTGTGTTCAGTGCAACAGGAGTGTCTGAACTTTCCCTGGAGAAGAGGTGACCAGGATGCCATTTGGCAGCTTGAGCACATCCAGCCAGCAGGCTTTAAGTGGCTGTTGTAGGCATAGCCCTCCCTAAACTACAAAGCAGAGTGGCCAGTATTGCTATGCTGTGTCTAACCAGACACTCACACCTGACTTACTAGTAACTCTGAGAACCTTTAACTTACAACTTTGTCTCTTCCTAGACAAAATTCATTAAATCACACTGTGACAGTTTAGATTCTTGCATGAACAATTGACAATAAGCGTCAGAGCACACAATATCATAAGTTCCATAAATTACACAAAATATATCATAAAATATACTATAGACATGTTAGGTAAAAAGCATCAGGCCCATCAAGTATCAAAAATCAGGTTATGGCTCTTACCTCAAGAAGTGGCAGCTTAGGGGAAAAAGGAATAAGAAAAATTGTGGCCAAGCAGAAGTGGATGTATATGATGGCAGTGGAGGCCCAGAGGTCACAGGTGATTGCCCTACTGCCTAACAGTTGCCTTTTGAATCCTTATGCTGATGGTGGTGTCTTTCTACACACTCACGGCAACTACTCAGGAATTATGGTAAGATTTTCTGAAATCTGAGATGTAGAATAAGGAAACCCAGTGGTGCTATTACACTTTTAAATGTTCTAGCCAAAACAAATTGCCAGTATGGTTGAGGAATTGAGTATCAGAGGACATGCTGGTCTTCCCCCCCGCCCACTTTCTCCTATCAAGGACAGTAGAAGCTGCAAACCTCTTAGCCTCCTTCAGGTACCTCTTGTTTTCATAAGTACCATAGAGAATGGTGTTTCCTAAATGAAAAGTTCATATACTGCTGGTAAAGAAAACAGAAAAACTGAAGGAAGGAACATAACATGTTTGTAGAAATAACACCTCTGGTAAGATAAGTCACTTTTTTTCCTAAGGGCCACAGTGAGATGTAGCAGAAGAAATATGTGTATTTGGGGTGAGGATTTGCCTGTTGGCCTGGGATTGCATATTGCCTCTACATGATGCTGTCTGCAACAGGGACATTTTCATTTGAATTATATTCTTCCTTTCTTGAAAGTTGTGTGTCCTCATTTCTATTTCTGCTTCTCCCTTGGCCAGTTCATTGAGGCAGATCATTGCATACAACAGCATAGCAAACTGCACCAGGTCGGTTTATGAAGGGGAATTGGCAATGCACACCTACAGGCTCTTTTGCCCAGGAACCAGGTTGTAACATTGACAGGGAAGCTCTTCATTCCCTGACATACTAAGTTGGTCAGTTTTGTAGTACTCACGTCTGCCCACAAAAACAACAAAGATAGAATCAATTTGGAGCTTTATATGGCAAAGAGAAGGAAGAAGTCCAAAAATATACAGCCTTTCCTCCCCCCCATATATCTGATTCAAATATAAATATCTGATTTTATAAAGTAGTTTAAATTGCCTTTTAAAATTGCTGTCGAGAAGCATCAGGTATATTTGAGCTTCCCCCCCCCCCCATCCTGTCCATTCTAATCAGAGAAAGAAACAGCCAAACAGTGGAGAGGAAAGAAAAAGCTTCTGCTTTTTAAAGTATTTTTTATAGTAGTTATTTTACCTTTAGGGACCCTACAACTGAAGAGGGTGGAGAGAATAAAGAAATGGACTTTCATTCATATCTGCTTTGTCTTCATAAGGAAACCTGCAACACAGATGAAACCAGTCTATGTGGCCAAGCTGATAGGATTTGAAAAGTGGGTAATTTTTAGCCTTTCCAGAATGCAAATAACTTGATATATTTCCATTTTCCAGTTATAGAGAGAAACAATCCAGCTGCCTGGAAACTTATTAGTACAGAAGCGGCTTTAAAAAGGCACCCTCGAATACTGGACTCAGCAGAGCTTTCTTCTTTAAACTTACATAATGATATTCATATCTCCATTAGCAGTTGAAGCCAGGCATAACCAGGCTCAGTTACATAGCTGTATGTGACTGAGAAGCCCATTTTGTGTCACTTCTACAGGCTCATCAGCTGTTGACACCTTATTAGAGGCACTGCATTTTTGTTTCACAATTCTTCATCTCCCTTCCCAAGGAACGGGCATTCTACCAAACTCTTCCAGATCAATGCTTTGTTGGAAAGTGATAAATTTAAGACAATTTTAACATGTCAAATTTGAAGCCAATTCAGTAGCCTTATTTGTTCCGACTCTTTAACCAATACTGTGATATAAAGTTAGCATTTGGGAAACTTGTGTAGTAAACAACTGATTTGGAAACATGAAGATATTAAAATGGCAGCCAGCTAACTGACTCTTGAGCCACTATGCGGTTTCTACCAATGGAAAGATGAGGGAGGCAAATTAAGCCTCATTCAGTAGGCCTGCTGTCCAGTGGAACTTACTGAACTCATTTCCTCCTCTATACCCAGCCCTTCTCCTAACTACTCTGGTGATAACCAGGGGCATAGAAGACTTTTTCTCTTATCCTTCCCTTCTCCCATAGGGTAGTTTCCTTCAGTCAGTCGCTCACATGAACTCCAGACTTTATTTTATATTACATCTCTGAAGTACTTGATCTGGGGAAGATTGACTTTAATTCCATTTTTATATGAAAGTGGTAGATAGAGCCATCAGTTTATTCTTCTACATTCCCTCTAAGCTTACGTAATTTTGTTTTTAAGTCTCTTAAATATACTGAGAATCTTCTATTCTGTCTCCTTTTCTAGAGGCTGATCTAACTACACTTATTGGCTGTTTTTCCAAGCCTTGTGTGAAACTTAGTAACACTGGGCCAGCAAAATGCAAAGTAGACTACAGTTTCAGGCAGAAAATCACATCCAAAGAATTTGGCATGGATTAAACAAACAACCTCCACCACACTATAGCTCTCACATGGGCTGAACATTTTCCTAAACTCTACCTGTGCAGACAGTGAGAGGTTCTCTGCCTTTGAAACTATGAGAATGTCTTAAATGAATATTTCTCTCTATAGTATGAGCTGCCAATGCATTACCTTATACTTAGTATATCAAGAAGGAACTCAAATGTTGTCAGGCACACATTAGCAATGGTTGGTTAATGTCCCTGTGAAAGTTGTACCTACTTTCCTTCATTGTTCTCTTCAGGGGCTTTTCTCCACTTTCATCTCATGAAACAAATGAGTTTTTGATTGTTCAACTGGGTTAGCTTTCCAGGTCCATCTTTCCAAAATGAAAGGTTAGTCCCATAGACCACTGGGTATCCAGGGAAATTAACTCTCTACCTCCTCATGGCATGGACAATAAGTGTTCCCGGATTAACTGTCTGGCAACTCTTAGTATGGATTTTGAATTCCAGATTTCTTTATAGGAGATGTATAAAAAGGAATTTATAACATACAGAAATTATACTGCTCTTCCCAGTAAGGGACTAAAAGGACATTTGAAATCTTTACATTTTAGATGTTTTTGTGAACTATAAATATCTCCTCCTTTTTCCTCTCTTCATGCTAACTTGTCTCTAGATAAAATCTCATTTCTTCATACATCGAACTGCAAGACATGCAGAGCGTAGCTCAGCCCCACTGAGATTGTGTTCTGCATGATCTTTGAAAGGCTTCCATTTCCATTGAAAACAAATCCATAGTGAGAGGCAAAGTCTAGTAACAATTCTCCTGTCTGCTCATAATGGATCTACCTAAGGGATAGGTCTATTCTAAAACTATTAATTTTGTAATTCTATAATTTCCCAAGGCATAATATGACCCTACTGTCAGCTAGATTTCTAATCTTCAATGAGTGCAAGCTTTAAGAAAAAGGACTTCCCTTAAAGAACCAATCTAAAATATTCCTAAAAAGGCAGAAACTTTTAAAATTAGAAATTGAATAATTTTTAAGAATCTTTAGAGAAAATATCATTGATTTGTCATAGTCTTTTTCTTTCATCGAGTTTTAAGAGTTTTAATTTAGACTAGCATGCCAAGCAGGATGTCCCTGGACTTTGATTGAGGGGATCGTGCTTTGGCTTGGGAATAAGCACTGGCCTGCATGCCCAGAGCCTAAGTGAAGGCAGTCAGCATCCTAGTATGAATTGGACCTAGCAGAAATGTAAATTACTTCAAAGTGCTTTAGAGTTTAGTTTTCTTAGTGACACTCTGGACCCTGAATGCTGCTGTCTAAAGTGCATTTGATCCATGCAGTTATATGTCTTCACATATCTGGGGCCTTGTAAGGTTGCAAGCAATGGGATGAACGAGAAAAAAAGGATGCATAGAGGAGAAAAATTTGAACGAGGCTAATGCAATCTTTTGCTGATAGATTACATTGTTAGGGAGCTGGTGATTTTTGGGCATGGTTGTATCATGGACAGCTTTTCAATGGAAATTGAAGGCATCTCTGTTAGGCAAATGTGAGTGCCCATGATCTTGTATTTATCAGTGCCAGACAGTGTACTGGACAAGCAGGTACCCCAGTGAAACTTGTCTGTACTTGGTTTAACAGCTCCAACAGTTTCAAATCCATGGGGCTGCTTGTCCATAGACTGTGTTTACTGCATGCCTGTTCAAAAGTCATTTTGACGTCTAGCTTCGTTTTGCTTTTCTCCTTTCAATATTTGTTTCAGCCTCCTTTTTCCTTCATATTCCATGGCAATTTTTTTCTTACATTTCTCCCAGACCCAGATTTTTTCACCCCTCTGCATCACAGACAACCAAGTATCTTCCTCAGCCCCTCCTCCATCCCTTCATACCCTGTGCTCCATTCTCAGCCGTTTGGACAGGGAGCCCTGCTGTCACCAAGGAGCCCATGTGAGGCACACTGCTGTGACTGCCTCTTGTTAATGTCAGCATCACCTCATCACTTAGGCAAAAAGGAAAATCCATAAAAGAGATGGAAAATACGTCTTTTTCATTTTATTCTACTTTAAGAAGGTTGGCTGGGGTGGGGGGGACATGTTATTCTAGGCCTTCTCAGTTTCTCATAGATTTACCTTAAACTAAGGCCATTCTTTTGATAAATTTGTACCTCAGACCGGGTCACCAGCTATGATGCAGAAGGCTATATTTTTTAATCTCAAGTAACTTTTTGTGCTGCTGGACAAATTGACTTAATTCTGTGCAGGCAAACACTTTGAATCATAAGGCTTTTTATTACCACTCCATTCTTACTACTACTCATGATTCAAGCATCTACCCCTGTTCTGAATCAGGACGTTGACACTTTGTGGTTATTTTCAGATGAACAGTAACTGCTACACTCTTGAAAGCACTTAAAGTGTAAGCATGTCCTAAGTTGTCAACCATTTAACCTGGTAAAACATAGGCTTTTCTGTTTAATTATTAGACCAATCTGTAGATATAATCTGAAAGGGTTTTAGGCAGTAAGGAAGACAGATGGGAAAGGAGAAGGCACTTTAAACACATGAAACCTTACATTACATGCTCTTTGATACTTTTAAGCATAATCTCATTGGATTCAGGTATTTTTCCCTTTGCTTAAAAATATGTATTTCTAATTTGTTTGCATATTTAATTTTGTCAAAGCTGAGAAATGCTCATGAGTTGAGTTTATAAGTCATTTGCAACCAAATGAAGTATTTATTTTTAAAAAGAAAGGGTGAAGGAACCGATTTGTACATAATAAAAATATGTGTATGTATTATATATATATTTTTTTCCTTCTTGACAGTACTTGGTCACCATATCAAGTGTATTTTTGTACATAATATATATTGATTAGAAAAGTGTCAGTTGTCTATTCAAGAAAATTCTATCTCTGTGATAGATTATATTTATCCTAATCTGTTGATACCTCTATTCACTTAAGAGATAGAATTCTATTTTTTGGAATTTGCAGAGAATTGCATTCATGGCTTTCAATTGTAAATATGCTAAGGGTATTTTAATAAATCTTGGTTTCATGTCCATCTGGTGTGCAATGCATATTTGTTTTCAGGAGGTGTGTAAAGCAATATCACAACAGTACTCTAATGTGGAGAGTACCAGTCATTTCTAACTTGCATTTCCACTCAGGTACACTATTACTACTCAGCACAAGAGCTGGGTCTCAGTAAGTCTATCATTTTTATCTTCCTTTTTCTACCATTTGTACCCTATCAACTGTGGGCAACTTGGCCAGGCATTCAAGGCTAACAGCAAAGACACACAAACAGCCAGGCATTGTCTCAACAAGGCTTACCCAAAAGCAACACTCCCTGAATATAAGTTGCCCAAGGAATGGGCACAAAGATTGGTGACTTCAGGTTATGGGTTGAAAATAATAAACTAGATAAACAGAATAAAAACAATTGTTTGTATTTTTACTAAGCACAAGGTACATATTCGTTGCAAGGAATAATATGAAGCATGCAGGTATTTTATAAACAAATCCAAAACACTTTAAGCAAAACACTCTTCTATTTAAATACAAACGTAATTGTGTTATTTCTTTGGTGTTCCTGAATGCCATACACTCTAGAGTTCTAGATATTTGCTGAAATGTATCCCATTATGTTTAATGAACAGACAGTTATCTAGGAAGACATTTCATCACTACAAAATCTTCTAACTCATAGTCATTGAGCTGCAAAAACCTTTGGACATTGAAGAAAATCTCTATCAGAAAAACTGCTGAAGTTCAAGGGTATTGCTAAAAATCACATGTAGTGTTGGTAAACACTTCAAGACTAGAACCCAGATTTCTTGACACTAACACCAAAGCCCTTCCAACTGATGGATTCATTCATTAAATTAGACTGCTCTCTCCTACGAAATACTCCATCATGGAGAAATATTCTGGAACTATTTTTTGAAAAGAAAGATCCAAATGCTGATAACATTTTTAAGAAACATTATTAGGGTTGTGTTCTGAATTACAACATAGATATGAGGGTAGAGGCCTGGGTATGATAAGGACCTAGGAATAAATACCAGCACAGCATAGGAAGCATCTCATCTCTGGTCTAACCAAGATTTATTCTTTCTTGCTTAGTTAATGAGTATACATTTTTGCCTAGTCTTTAAATAGTCTATGAAGCTGATGGTCCAACATCTGGCTTAGTATGTTTTGTGTTCCTGTAACAGAATACTTGACAATGGGCAATTTATAAACAATTGTATTGTCTAGCAGTTCTGGAAACTGAGAAGTCCAATATCATGGTACCAGCATCTTGTAAGGACTTTCTTGCTACATCACATGGCAGAAGGCAGAAGGCCACAGAGGCAAGGGGACCCTAGCTTTGTTCACAACAGCATTAATCCCCCTCATGAAGGTGGAGCCCTCATCGCCTCATCACCTGTTAAAGATCACATGTCTTAATACTGTTACAATGGCAATTAAACTAACACAAATTTTAGAGGAGACGTTCAAACCATAGCACAGGTTATAAATTCCTGAGGCTAAATATTCTCTAGATCAGCTGCCCACTTTCACTTTGCTGTGATTGTCACTATGGAAATAAAAAACTTTAAAGTTCTCCACTGACCCTTCGTGCACGGTAGATACTGCTGAGTCAAAATCTTCTGAAGGTAATGTTTGCTTCATGTCCGTGATTGTGTGATGATAAATGGTAAGAGAAAATAACTATATTAGTTATTAATTTCTATATAACAAAATACCCCAAAATATAGTGCATTAAAGCAACAATGTTACTTATTTCTCTTGGTGTTTGTTGATCAAGAATTTGAGAAGGGCTCAGCTGGGCAGTTCTCACTTGGAGTGTCTCATAAGGTTTTAGTGATATGTTTATTAACATCTGTCATCATCAACGTATGTTTATTAACACATCTGAACATCTAAAAAAATCATTAATATATGAGTTTGTCATCTGAAAACTGGATGGCTTGAGTGGGACTCCCAGTTATCTGACTCAGCTGGCAAGTTGGTGCTGCCTATAAGCTGGAAGCCTCAGTTCCTCTCCACTTGGGAGTCTTGAGTGGTCCATAATGAAATGGGTAATGTTTTTTTCTGACCAAAACACAGAAGCTACACCCAGTCACTTTCATCATATTAAACCATTTATAAATGGTCTGCCCAGATTGGGGAAGTGGGGAACTAGAGTCTACCTCTTGGAGGAGGAATGTAAATGCCACATTGTAAGAACATGTAAGATGGGATGTATATTAGTGAGATCTTTGGAAAATACAATCTGTCAGAAGGCTTGCCCCGTTTTTTTTTTATCTAGTCTTCTCCTTCCCTTGTTCTTATTTTTGTCCTAAATCTAGGTTTCAGATCTTTTTCAAGGTTTTTTTTTTTTTTTTTTTTTTTTTTTACACTTTTCCCCAAATCTTCCCTCCCTCAATCTGCATATTGGAGCACAGATCTGTTTGCCTTGCCTCTCTGGAACAGAAGCACTCTACTTTGAAGAAAGTGAGATGTATCTTAACTAGTAGAGGATATAACTGACTTTATATTTTATAAGTGACTTTACGAACACTGGAAAAAGGTTTCGAAAATGGTCCTAGGATTTTACTCTAAAATCCTAAGCCTTAATTACTTATCATATGTCTGGGAAAGATGATGATCCCTGCTAAAGCTGGGTCTTGGCCAGAAGTAAGTGCAATCACACCTTTTCAGTGGCTTGGAATAAAGCTTCCATTGAACTCTAATAACAGTATATATGTATTAATATAATGGAATATTAGCCTTAAAAGAAATTTCAACACATAGTATCATGTCTTCAAGGTTCATTCATGTAACAAGTGAAATAAGCCAGTCACAAAACAACAAATATTACATGGTCCATGATATGGTTTGGCTGTGTCCCCACCCAAATCTCATCTTGAATTGTAATAATCCCCACATGTCCAGGGTGGGGCCAGGTGGAGATAAGTCAATCATGGGGGCAGTTTCTCCCATATTCTCATGGTAGTGAATAAGTCTTGTGGGATCCGATAGTTTTATAAATGGGAGTTCCCCTGCGTAAGTTTTCTTGCCTGCTGCCAAGTAAGCCATGGCTTTGCTCCTCCTTTGCCTCGTACCACGACTGAGAGGCCTCCCAAGCCATGTGGAGCTGTTCCTTTAAAGAGTCCATTAAACCTCTTTTTCTTCATAAATTACCCAGTCCTGGGTTTTTCTTCATAGCAGTATGAAAATGGACTAATACAATCCACTTACAGGGAGTACCTAATCAAAATTACAGAGAAAGTAGAATGGTGGTTGGTTTCCAGGGGCTAGAGGAAGAGGGAGTGGAAATTACTATTTCATGGGTATGGAGTTTCAGTTTGGGGAAGATGAAAAGGTTCTGGAGATGGATGGTGCTGGTGGCTGCACAACCATGTGAATGTATTGAATGTGCCTGAACTGTACATTTAAAAATGGTTAAAGTGGCATGTTTTATGTATATTTTACCACAATAAAAAATAGTAGTGTATATGTCTATATTAAGGACTTCCTATATACTAGGTACTATATTAAGCATTTTGTATGTATTTAATAGTCATAATATTACAAGATAAAGAGTACAACTATTCCCATTTTACAGATTTTAAAACTGAGTTTTGGAGTATCTAGTAACTTTCCCATGCAGTTGGTGAGTGGACAAAACAGAATTCCAACAACACGCTAGAGAAACATTCTCAACCACAATTCTGTCCATCTCTTAGGTCACAGAAACTGAATTAGCTGATTCAGGAGAAAAAGGAAGGTACAGAGAAAGATTTTGAGGTCTTGTCACATGGGTGGTCTTAATTTCATTTTTGAGAGACAGTAAAAATGTACCATCTAACAAGATGCTTCTTTTTTTTTTTTTTTTTTTTTTTTTTTTTTGAGATGGAGTTTTGCTCTTGTTGCCCAGGCTGGAGTGCAATGGCATGATCTCGACTCATTTCAACCTCTGCCTCCCAGATGCAAGCGATTCTCCTGCCTCAACCTCCTTAGTAGCTGGGATTACAGGTATACGCCAGGATGCCTAATTTTCTATTTTTAGTAGAGTCAAGGTTTATCCATGTTGGTCAGGCTGGTCTCAAACTTCTGACCTCATGTTATCTGCCTGCCTCAGCCTCCCAGAGTGCTAGAATCACAGGCGTGAACCACCATACCGGCCCGTTATTGCTCTTTCAAACATTGGCTTACTTTTGTCAAATACCTAGCCCAAGAGCATTTATAGCCACCAGCACTCCTGTAAAAAGCAAAGAAACTAACAGAATACATTTGTATACATATATCCTTTAAGGAACAGCTAATATACATCCAACACTTTCTTCCTCCTATAGATGGGATAAAGCAAGGTATAATACAGGCAAAAAGCGAGCAGGAGCTGGTGAGTACCACTTGAGGGACAGTATGAGACAAAGAGGAGCAGTCATCTAATCCACCTTTGAGTTTTTAATCCCAAAGTAACCTCCTAGTCAATCAGTCTGGAAATATATCTTACAAAAGAGAACAATGTCCTAGCCATGAAAAAAAATGTTTAAAGAAAATTGGATCACGTACTGCCCAGAATTTCCCAGCACCGTCTACCACTATTGTGGCTATCTATGTCCGTTGCTTGATCAGAACCAAAACGAGACCCAGTTGGAGCTGATTCAGGATTATTTTGAAGATATTTGCCACTGAAATTAAATCTTCTGTTGAAGGAAACACAACAGATAGTTGTCCCCAATTTTCTTATGCTGTCCAGAAATGGAAGGAAAGAGAAAAATCCTTCAAGAATGAAAATGCCCTCCCTCATACTTCAACTTCAAAAAAACGTAAGACTTACCAAATTATTCAATCACTTTGCCTGAACTCCAAGACTTCCAGCCTAGTTCCAAAGATCAGAATGGTTTGGCTACCTCTGGGAAACCATTATATTTGGAGGGATTTGTTCCACAGAAGAATTTTGGCCTCAGTCATGGGAAGACAGTGCTGAATTAGAAAGTCAAAACACCTCCGCTCTTTAGCTTCTACTTCTGAGTTAGTGTGAGAGGTAGGAGACAATGAAGGATC